ATATCTCAGAGATGCCATGTCGCAGATGTTCGCTTATGTACATCGCAACGATAGAACGTTCGTAATATCGCAGTGTTGCCTCATCGCGACATCTCAGAGATGTCATGTCGCAGATGTGTTTGCTTCTGTACATCGCAGCGATGGAACATTCGTAATATCGCATTGTTGCCTCGTCGCAACATCTCAGAGATGTCATGTCGCAGATGTGTTTGCTTCAGTACATCGCAGCGATGAAACATTGGTAATATCGCTGTGTTGCCTCATCGCGATATCTCAGAGATGCCATGTCGCAGATGTTTGCTGATGTACATCGCAGCGATAGAACATTCGTGATATCGCAGTGTTGCCTCATCGCGACATCTCAGAGATGTCATGTCGCAAAAGTGTTTGCTTATGAACATCGCGGCGATGGAACGTTTGTGATATCGCACTGTTACGTAGACGCGACATCTCAGAGATGTCATGTCGCAGATGTGTTTGTTTATGAACATCGCAGCGATGGAACGTTTGTGATATCGCACTGTTACCTAGGCACGACATCTCAGAGATGTCATGTCACAGATGTGTTGGCTGGGTAACATGGATCGATATAGAAAATATCTCCAAAACGATAACCTCCAGCGAAATTGAGGCCCTTATAATAATTCTCTCGATACATAAATATCTATTCACTTTTCACTGTTTAATTTTCTATTCGCGGTCAGCACCAAAAACGCCATTCAATAATATATCACGTTGTAGTTTACTTGCTTTTCTGAGTTTCGTTTTCAAATTTTCAATTCCATAATGTAATTTTGCGATCATTTCCCCTCTTTCCAAGATTATTTTGTTTTGTATTTTGTGTGATGATAATAATGGAATTTTGTTCTTGAAATCGTTTGCTTTGTAAATTGATGGAACAGCAGATTCTCTCAAACAGATTCCGAAATCTTCTGTTTGAAAATGGGCCGAAAACATATAGATTCATTCTAATCAGATGCTGTTATAATAAGTCAATTTCAATGAGTACCTCACAAATTCCGCTCGTCTTCAAATTGATTTTCCACCCAGGCCGTTTCATATCTTCCTTATTCCATAAGCGAATGCTTGATATTTGATTTGGAAAATCTAATAAATGATATCCATTTGTTTCATAATTGGCACAATTTATTATACAGCAAATGATTTCCATAGCTGCTTTTATCTCGAAAGTATAATAATTATGAAATTTTATTTCAATTCTGACGTTTATAAAATGAATTGTCAAATTCAACCAATTTTGAATGAAAAATCGCGGGACGACTATGATACTCTTGTCACAATGCAAGGTGTGTAACTTGATAATTCTAAACATTCAAAAATCCTAACCGTTGTCATTTCTGTGTTCGAAAACTAATTGGCAAGGTGATCGACCGTTGGGGGCGCTGTTTCAAAACAAGATGGCGGCAAAGAGTGTGTAGTTTGTTTACAAAATTTCTTGAGATTTGCATACATTTTCTTCTTGATATTTCATCGTGTTATTTGTGTTAATTGTTGAACTTTTAACTGAAATCATAATTATATTTGTTGGATCTTACTGTTTCATCGTTATGTGAAGAAAATTACTGTTACCTACTGACTGAATCGTAGACCGAATTTCTTCAAACCAGTGCATTTCTGTGGGACAGCTTTATGGGATATCAAAAATCATAAGCATATTCACTATCATCAGAAGCTGATATATTCACCATCATACTTCTATAACTCCACTCTTCAAGCAAAAGGATCCTACAGACCACAAATGGTGATACCAGGAGTGAAGTTTTTCAACAGTGAACAGCCTTCTGTGAACATATTGAAAACCATCCCTGAACAATGTGTTAACCTATTCGACTATTTTGTGTTAAATATTATAGCCATCAGAATCATGTGCAATTGATCCATTCAATAGAAATCAGCAGCAACCAGCTCTAATGAGTCTAAACCAAGAAATAATTCAACACCAAAGGCATCCTGACATTACTGTGGATTTAATAGTAGATACAACTATCAATGGCCTATCTTCAACAATATTACTTCCAGGCTTTGAGGATTGTTTACAGTGCAACTCCCATACCTCATATGTTATGGTGCTCCACTGCAATAACAGCAAATTGTCATGATCCTATGTGCCATGTTTGTGAATTGTATCCATATAACACACTTTTCATAATATGAATATTCCTAATATACTTAGAGTTGAGGTAGGTGGCATCCTAGACTGAGTTTTATTCTTGGGATTCATTTAATATCTTGTAAAGCTAGATTTTTTTACCATATTGATGAAATGATTGCATAATTTGGAATTCCACCACATAAAACATTGATAAAATGACCTAGGATTTCAATCTGTATAGTTCATTATGTTTTGTATATTTTGGAACTGAAATAATAATAATTTTCGAAAATGAAAGTACATTGACATAATGTGTTTTACTGTACTTATGCCACTCCAAAGAAGTCAAGAAAGAAGTATCTACAAATAGAAGGATCTTCCAGTATACTCCTTCACTGAGGTGCTCATGTATACTGTTTTTCCCTGAATTATTTTACAAGATACCTTCATGAAAATTTACAATAATTATAAATGAATTTGAAATCCAGGACTTCCATATATGTAGAAATAAATTAACAATGAGCAAAAGTAAGTATACCTGGTAGGTACCTATTTTAAAAGGAATCAGTAAAGATTATAAAGTGAAACTTTGAAATTCCATAAAAAAAGAATGTGTTGATTGAGGTAGTTGTGGAATTGAAATATGAATTTTGAAAACCTACAATAAAACATTACAAAAAGAAAAAAGTAGAACTTTAACATATGAATAAATACAGTTTAATAATAACATACAAGCAGTAAAATTATGAATACATTATTCCAAGATACAATTTGAAATGTCATGGATATGTTCAAGTACTGTGATATCTCCTTAAAAACTTGAATTCAACTTCAAGGAATCTGGGTTTTGGTTCCAATTTGTGTAACTATTTGCACTCAATTGCATGATACCCTGGATGGTAACTCCTCCCCTGCTGAAAAATTGAAGAAATGTTAGTACCTACTACTACCTACTATAAACAAACCATATCTATTAGCTATTACACAATCTAAATATTCAAATAGAAATAGATTGTGTCACTTCAATGTATGTTCAAAGATTCAATTCAAGCTATGAAGTAAGCTACCTACAATGACCTGCTTGTACCAGGGTTATTTGTATATCTATAAAATATGCTACTGTTTTTGCTCATATGAATGTAATTGGGAGCTGTATTTTAACAATCATTGTGGAATTTCATGCAATCTGCATTGGCTATTTTACTACAAAATAGGAATCTATGGAGGCCTAGGCAGGAGGTCATGAACAAGATTTTTATATGAGTCAAGCATTACAAATAAAACCACAAATTACCCACCTGCACATGTTCATAATGTCTTTTTTCTTGCCCAGCTTTGTGTATTGCAGTTCAAAAGTCAAAGCCATTGAATTTGCTTCTTAATTTTTCTTATAAAAATATTCCAAAGAAAAACAACCATGCTTATTTTTCCAAGTCCTGGAGACATTTCCCCATAAACAAAATAGGTATGAACTGTTGATCATTTCAATCATGTTCTCTCTCAGATAGGCACTGCAAAAGAGTTATTCATCAGTAATAAATATATCAATGAATCACAAATTTACCTTATTGTTATCATTAGAAGAAAGGTAGGAAGTTTTTGTTGGAGCTGCATACATCCAGTTTTCAAACTCATATTGGATTCTCAACGTTTATCCATTTTTTCCATTCAACTGAACTGAGTGCTGGAAATTCATATTAGAGGACATATTATAGGTCCTACATTAATCATTTATCTGATTTATCCATTGGAACCTTCTACTAGTTCAACCAGCAACCAAACATTTGATTTCGCGTATGATCAGAGATTTGTTGATACTAATTTATAAAATAATATAGAATTGATTAGGCAATTGATATAAAGTTCATGTCTTGTACTCAAGAGACGCAAGAAGAGAAAATTAACGTAATTTGTTGAATGGTATTCATTAGAATATGAATCTCAATGAACACAATAACAAACATGACCTTGAATTACGTCCTAAACTGGTTGAAATTTGCCCACCTTTACACCAATACCATCCAGAGAGAGTGACTCTAGGTCGCACTAAGTGCATATTTTGTATTCCATTGGTAAAACTGGTGTCGGGTTTTCGATTCCATTGGAAAACTGGTTCACATGTTTAGAGCTGAGTGCAACAATTCTCGCACGAGCTCTAATAGGTAATGGCGGAAACATTGAATATATGTTGAATATGCATAGTTTGAAAACCAAAATTAAGTGGCAATCAAATCATCATCATCAATTAGTGATGAAAATTTGGATGTTTCAAGAAAATAAAGGAGACTACTGCCCAGAATTCATAATTTTGTTGAGTGTTTTGCACTAGAATTCAATGATGAAGAGGTTCTCATTGAAAAAAAGCTGCTCAGAATCATTTCCATAAAACATCTACTCCGTTTTTTATTGAAGTCGAGAAAGAATATCAGGATACGGACAAGTTAGAAACAATGATTTAACCTCCAACAATAACATTTTATTATATCATTTCGTATTCCATTGGGAATGCACACTGTTTCAAAATTATCATAACAAAATAGCTCCGTCTACACAACCGCCACGGCGGTTGGATACTGATTCAGATAAACGAGAAACTACAGACTGATAAATTTCACCAGCTGATCAACTGCTGCTGACTACTGATGAAAACCATGAAAACGTGTTCCGAATTACGGCACTATATTTTTGATTCAATATTTCGGAATACGGATTTTCAGCAGAGTTAGTGGATCAACTGACAGAACTGTACTGACCAGTTGAATTCGGAATGGTATAGCCCCTATCTTTTAAAACTCATTTTCCAAAAATGTTGAAGTTACGTCATTGTTATTCTGGAACGGCGATGTGTACCGAAGGTCATGGCTGTTTGAATTCTTCCGCAAGTAAACTGTTGCTGACAGCTATCGCCTGTCATTATAATTCTTGTGACATTTTTGACTTACTTCATACTTGTTTTGGTTCCTTCAATTTTAATTCTTTTAATAAGTTGACGTCGGATAGGACGGTAGTGAAGGTTATAGATTATTTATCATGGCCCCGGTGAGTTACTGAATTATATCTTTATACGTGAAGAATGGCTTAAAATCTCTAGAAAATATAATAAATCACTGAATTATCTATTGTTTTTATCTTTAATTTTTCTTGAATGTGGACGGATGCTTTATATAATTCAGGGATTATTATCCTGTTGATATTCATGTGGACATGTTCCTTATAAATCGTTGTTGCTTGCATCTTTTGTCTCCTATTTTTTTAATAATCTTCATATTTTAGCGTTACTTCAGCATTATTTCATCAAATTCATTAAAACTGTCTGGTCGAAACACAACTAATTTTCTGTTGTGGATTCCAGACAAAGCCTGCAGCTTCTGCCAAATTACAAGGTAAAAGACCTCATATTCGTGGAAAAGGTCTAAAGAAGAAGAAGGTTGCTCTGAAGTTTGTCATCGATTGTACACACCCTAGTGAGGATAGCATATTGGATGTGGCAAATTTTGTAAGTGAAATGAATACTCTTGTACTAATTTCCCACAGTCCCAGCTTCACATGATCTTTATTGATGGTCAATGTGGCGTTCAAGTAATACTGTGGAGATTAAACTGATGCTGTGCTCGCTATGTTTTGCTTGGAGTTTCACAACTAGCAGAATACATTGTTCAGCTACATTCATCCATTTTTAATGGGTTGTTCTTAGGAAAAGATTATCATGATGATTGGAATTGGAAAGTGAAAATGATTTTGACTTTTGGTCAGCAACTTCAAGAATGCCCACCTCATCAGTTGCCCACCTCATCAGTTGAACAAATTTGTATCATTGTAGCAATAGTTAACCAACAATAGAAATTAGAAACCTTGGATCACTAATGGTGGATTTATGCAGCAGTTTTAAGTAATAAGTTTTAAGTCGTAAGTATTAAGCCATAAGTCTTAAGAAGATCATTCATTGCGTTTCAATATAAACGTTCATACAATTGTCATAAGTTTTAAGTCATAAGAAAAGTTGGCCAACATTCATCTCTTACGACTTACTACTTAAAACTTATGACTAATTTGCTCTGCGCATGAGCCGTGCACTGCCATTTGTAATTTTGGTTTGTTTACATTTGTTTCAATCGAATCAGAACCAAAACAAATATTCGTAACTGCTGAATAATAGAAAAAAATTCTGTGATACCTCAAACATGGAAAAAACTGAAAACAATAAGCAAAATGAGCTAATGATCAGGGGTGATTTTCTTATGATATGACAGTCCTTATTATTGCTGCATGAATCACTATTTTCACCTTACGACTTAAAACTTGTGACCTAAAACTTATGACTTAAAACTTAAGACTTAAAACTGCTGCATAAATCCACCATAAGCATATTTTGCTGCATTTTACATCAGTTAAATGGATGAAAATGGTCCCTTTCATTCAATCTCTGGTACCTATAACAATAAAATTGGTTTGCTGTATTTTATTCTGTAGGGAGACACTGTCTAATCAAAAATTTATGACAACAAACGAAAAAGGGTACTTTGAACTAGTTAAAGTATGAATTCAGTGTCAATCAAAGCTGGAACCTTTGACAAAGTTTATGTCAGTTTTAGTTCAGTCCTACCAAATTTGTCTTTGAAATTATTACAGAACTCAAGAACTAGTGACATTAATATTCATGGACTTATGGAGAGGTTTGTTAGGAGAGGTTAATAATTAATTAATAATTGACATCTATAGTAATGAAAAATTACATTAATAAATTATGATAATGAAGTTAATTTATAACAACCTCCTCAAATTCAAGTCAATGGCTTGGAATCTCATAAACTGCAAGAGATAGTCTGTTGAATGAAGGCTAATTACCATTATCTAGGATACCAGTTATCATGAAGCATCATGATAAAACATTACACAGGTCCATATTTGTAAATAAAACATTAGGATAGCACAAATAATGACAGAATACAATATATCATTTGTATTCACATACATTTGTACATACATACAGAGAAGTAGCTAATGGAAGAAAAGTAACCATGCTATATAATGTTTAACCCCCAAGTACTACCCGCCAATAAAATTACCGTTACCCGCCGTTCAAATTGACCCATTGGTGATATTTTTTATTTTATTTTCATAAAAATGGATTTTAACTAGGCATGTGATATTTATTAACAATTATCGTCTGTTACCTTCATTTAAATCTAAATTGAATGATTCAAATCATGATTTGAATCAAATCATAAATTTCTTGTTGAAACAAGTCAGCCGAACAGATAACTCATCAGGGAATTCAGAAAGAGGAAGATTGTTTATTTAAAACTGGATGTTCATTATGTAAGTGTTGAATATTTTACATTTTGCTGCATTTTACATCAGTTAAATGGATGAAAATGGTCCCTTTCATTCAATCTCTGGTACCTATAACAATAAAATTGGTTTGCTGTATTTTATTCTGTAGGGAGACACTGTCTAATCAAAAATTTATGACAACAAACGAAAAAGGGTACTTTGAACTAGTTAAAGTATGAATTCAGTGTCAATCAAAGCTGGAACCTTTGACAAAGTTTATGTCAGTTTTAGTTCAGTCCTACCAAATTTGTCTTTGAAATTATTACAGAACTCAAGAACTAGTGACATTAATATTCATGGACTTATGGAGAGGTTTGTTAGGAGAGGTTAATAATTAATTAATAATTGACATCTATAGTAATGAAAAATTACATTAATAAATTATGATAATGAAGTTAATTTATAACAACCTCCTCAAATTCAAGTCAATGGCTTGGAATCTCATAAACTGCAAGAGATAGTCTGTTGAATGAAGGCTAATTACCATTATCTAGGATACCAGTTATCATGAAGCATCATGATAAAACATTACACAGGTCCATATTTGTAAATAAAACATTAGGATAGCACAAATAATGACAGAATACAATATATCATTTGTATTCACATACATTTGTACATACATACAGAGAAGTAGCTAATGGAAGAAAAGTAACCATGCTATATAATGTTTAACCCCCAAGTACTACCCGCCAATAAAATTACCGTTACCCGCCGTTCAAATTGACCCATTGGTGATATTTTTTATTTTATTTTCATAAAAATGGATTTTAACTAGGCATGTGATATTTATTAACAATTATCGTCTGTTACCTTCATTTAAATCTAAATTGAATGATTCAAATCATGATTTGAATCAAATCATAAATTTCTTGTTGAAACAAGTCAGCCGAACAGATAACTCATCAGGGAATTCAGAAAGAGGAAGATTGTTTATTTAAAACTGGATGTTCATTATGTAAGTGTTGAATATTTTACAAGGCAGGAAAGTAGTAGATTGACTGCCGCGGCTGATATTTCATAGCCCAGCATAGCGAGCCTAGGAATTCAGTCAATCTACATTACCTGCCCTGAGAAACATATAATTCTTTCTCTAAATGTTATAAAACCAATTTTGTCTAATTTTGTTAATGAAACCATCATTTTGTGTTCACCTGATGTCATTGTCAATTTTGATTACCGATTTCATTCAAATTGCTTAGAATGTTGCATAGCAACAATCTTTTCATGCCAAGGCAGAGGAAGTACACTTTTCCTGCCTTGTTCAGCGGCAAGGAAAAGCCAATTTTCCTGTCGCTTGGAGAAAAACGATTTTTTTTGTTCCAATAGGAAAGCCGCAGCACACTGCCAAAAATTTTTATTTCAATACAAGCTTTTTGTATGTCGCCGATGAGATTTTGTAACTGTGAATCACGGCGTCAAATATTTTTGGCGAAATAAAAATAAATAAATCAGTGTGTGGAACCATCCACAAGTTCCAGCCATGACTTCACCAATTTAAAGGGACAGGCAATATCACCAATGGTCCCTTATTATTATTTATACTCCTGGCTGGCCATCAAATTACTGAAACCTCCAAAATATGTCCGTGGATGAAACTATTTTCCATTAATGTATTCCTCTGAGGGTCCTTGATAATCTGTATATCTCACAATATTCAGTTGGGCAAGAATGAATCCTACAGGCCCCCATTTTTTTTTTAATTTGAAAAAAAAAACTTGAAATACACATGGATGAAAGTTTTTTTTCTTCAAATGTTGTATATATCTCACAATGTTTTGTCGGGCAAGAATTGACCCTACAGGCCCCTTTTTTGAAATAGAAAAAAAAATCACAGGGACTGCCAATATGATTGCAAAATGATATACAAATGTCTAAAACCGATCTGCCAAATTAATCCAGTGATTCATTCTGAAATAAATGTTTATTTAAATTTTTTTCATTAATTGTCAGCTAAAATATTTTCATAAATGGAAATATAATGAATATTTATGAAACCAAGACATAATAATTGTTGTTATTCTGTTAGATTGCTTCATAGAAACATTTTATAAATTACTCCCATGACCTAAAATACTGAAGAATACATTCCTATCAGGACTCAGGACAGGAATTACGTTTTCATGTTCTTGTCCCCTAAAAGGTCTTCACAAAATCTCAGCACATATTCATGAGGTCTAATGAAGCAACTTATCTCAGTCAAAAATTGCTCCATTTCCGACATACAGGGTGGTAAATTTTAGATTTAAAAATAGAATGTTTTATATCACTTTGAAAATTGGTAGCCAGAGGAACCTGAATTACAGACACATTTTCACAGTGGCCATTAGAGGACGCTTACCAATGCATTTCTTATGGTTCAGAAGTCCCATAACTTTTTTCTCAATGGACTTTTTCACTTTTTTAGTTGATGAAATAATGTTTCTAATAGTTATAAGAAAAGAAAAACTAATCTTGTGAAAATTCACTTAAGTAAACTGATTTCGAGATATTTCGGTTTTGAGTGTTCCATGTCGCACCAGAATATTTAAATTATTTTGAATGAAAAATGCATGTTTGCTGTTATCTTTGTGAATGTAATTTGGTCAGTGAATGAGTAGTGAAAAAATGGATTTCCCCAAATACTTCTTGGGATGTACTTGTTGATTCTCATTTTTTAAATTTACCATCCTGTATATGGGAAACAGCAATTTCGTACAAAAGTAAGTTGCTTCAAATCGGCTTATTTGACCTCAGTGTTATATGTGCTAAGATTTTGTACAGATCTTTTAGGGACACTCTGTATAACTGACCTAGTGTAACAATTAACATTAATTATATCATAGATTCGAAAACAACTAATATAATCATATAGGAACTTGTTGAAAACGGACTGGACTGAACATTTCGTGAATTAAATTTGCTTTTACTAATGAATATGATTTTATGAAAATACAAAACAACGAAAAATAATTTTTTGTAAGAAACATAACGAAAAAATGACTTCGAAAAGCATTTTTACTAGTATTACAATATATCTACGATCAGATAAATGATGATTGTTATACTTGGTCAGTTAAACTTAGAAAGACATAAAAAAGACTAATTTCACCCCTGATACGAATGTATTCTCCAGTTTTTTTTAGGTTACGAGAGTAATTTATAAAATATTTGTTGTCTTAC